AGTTGCCGATCCTGACTCGCCATCTCCTCAGACGCACCTTTAGAGAGATGTGCATCTTTACGGATTATGATTATAATAAAAGAGTTTTTGTTTCTGATTTGTTTTATTTCGTTAAGTAGTAATTTAAAGCTTTCTATAGATATATTTATCATGTCTGTGAGGCATGTATTCGCTGAGTTTCGGTTCATTTTTGTAAGAGCGCCTGTTCAAGACGAGATGGCAGAAAGTGCAATATCTTTATTTTATAAAAGCACAACGTTTTGTTGATATTGGTGCACACAAATAAAAGTAGACCCTTTACAGTTACGAATGATGTATTACTCTTACCTTTATGAGTAAAAATGACGGCGTATCCACTGAAAAAAATGCAAGTGATCGCGCTGGCGCCTCCATGTCCTGCAAAGCGCGCTTCAGCTTCCACTCTCCGCACAAAATATTAGATATAGCGCACATTTATCTAGGTTTAACGTTAAAACATTGTTATGTGCTTGAACTGTTTTATATCTATAGATTTAATTTTAGGCAAGTCTGATGATTTGAGAAGGCTAAATTGAGTCCAGCACTCTCCTACCTTCACTGCTGCGACTACTCTTGTTTGTATGTGTTCCTTCGCATTTTCCACATTTCGTTTTTCTCCCTTAATAACAAATGTGTCCATTCTGATGCTCAATTTGACCGAACTAATGGCTGCTGATGACTATTTGAATTGAATTCTGCCATAGTGCGCGCTTGTAAATGTTTGTTAAATGCGTAACGTTAATTAGGCTACGTGAGTAGCCAACAGGTCTGCTCATGTCTGAAAATAATATATGAAAAACAAAATTATTTTACATAACAAAAACATTATAGCTTATATATTTATTTAGTACATGTCTGAAAATAATATATGAAAAACAAAATTATTTTACATAACAAAAACATTATAGCTTATATTTGTTTAGTACATTTTTTAATTAATGTAAAAACTAAAATGAATGGTAAAACTGAAAGTTATGTTTAAAATTGTGTTCAGCATGGTGGGCCGCATTTGAATTCGTGACGGGCCGCGGGGTTGAGAACCACTGCTGTAACACTTCCTCATTTATGTGCTTTCTTTTTGACAGGTCTTTCTCTGATCATGTGGAATGGCTTGTACACTGCTGAGAAGGTTATCATCCAGTGGACGTTACTTAGCGAGGCCTGCTACTTTGCCATCCAGTTTTTAGGTTTGTATCAGTAAGAACTCGAGTCTAATGCATGCTGTGTCTTGTCATCTCTAGATGGGCCCTGTACTATCATGATGCCACTGCCCTCTAGTGGTTATGGTCTATAAACAGATCTAATCAAGTATATACATGTACATTGTAACATACATTGTCTATGGCTTATTGCACATATGCAATTGATTAAAACATTTTAAAGAAGTAAAATTCATTTATAATTAAATTATTAAGTTGATATAGAAAAAAAGAGCACAGAGTAATATAAAAGACCAAAAACACCTGTATGTTGCAATGAAACAGGTTAAAGGGTTAGTTCACCCCAAAATGAAAATACTGTCATTAATTACTCACCCTCATGTCGTTCCAAACCCGTAAGACCTTCGTTCATCTTCAGAACACAAATTAAGATATTTTTGATGGAATCTGAGAGCTGTCTGACCCTCTGTAGAGCCACTGATGTCACATGGACTGTTTTATTGATGTCCTTACTACGTTTCTGGACCTGGGAACATTACAGGTGCATTGCTGTCTGTGGAGGGTCAGAGAGCTCTCAGATTTCATCAAAAATATCTTAATTTGTGTTCCGAAGATGAACGGCGGTCTTACGGGTCTTACATTACAACCTGAAACTTTTGAACAGTACTATAAAGTCCCATTCCCACCAAGAACGATAACTATAAAGATAAAGATATTAGCGTCCACACCAGCAGAAAATATCGTCTGTTTATTCTAAGCACATGCTCGTCTGCCGCATAAATTTCTCGAGCTCGCTATAGCAGGTTTGATTCTGATTGGGTGTCAATGTTTGTATTGTTCATCAGCTGGAAAAAATCATTCTGAAAGTGATTCCAATGATATCGTTTCTCTGTGCCTTTATCACTATAGCTGTGGTGTGGACTCTGCTATTCTTTAATATTGAGAATTTTTAGAACTATATCTTTATCATGATCTTTATAGTTATCGTCGTTGGTGTGAACGGGCCTTAAGTCTAAGTAGTCATTGTGATATTTATAATACATTTACCATGTGTTTCCTCAAAACTGTCTTGAAATTTGGATCACGTATATCTTCGCTTCACTATGTTGCAGTGACCTCCGTCACTCTGGTGGAACTGGGCTCTTTACCAAATGCTGCCATCCTCCTCCTCCTCAGTCGCATATTCTTCCTCACTGTCACACTGTCCTACTACTACCATCTGGGACGCCGGCCCAAGAAGATCTGAGAGCCCCGCAAGCACCGTTCTGACACACCTGGTGCTTGGGGAGTTGAGTGACAGGCCACTGGGCTGGAGTTTCCATCAGAAGCTTTGAACAGTGACACAACCAACAACATCAACCTGTTCACCTGGCGTTGAGCCTTACCGCAAGGCCGACGCCAACCCCAAAGCCTTTATTTTCATTTCAGCTTACACACAACACAGGAGTTTGCCTTTAGTGAGCAACTCCATCTCTTTTTGCTTGTTTTTTTCTTCTTCTTTTTTTTTGTGGGAAACACTCACAATATGGCCAAATGAATTGCATTTTTCTTTCTGATAGTGCAGTCACAGTGTAGCCCTCCTCATTCACCGTTTATCGTGTAAAGTATTGCACACCGTAGCCGAGCTTGGACTGCTGGCGTAATTGTCTGTAGCCATGGTATCAACAAAACTGTAAATCATTTCATGTAATAATGCCAATGAGCTCCTAGTCATGTGACGTGCGTGAGGGTGGCTAGTAAACACTAGATTGTGTGTTTTTACATGCAGGTCATTCAGTATTTGAGCAGTAAAAACATTGTTCCTGGTTGGTGTATTTTGTATCACTGCTGTATTACTAAACTAGGAACAACCTGCTCTACGTCGAATGATGGGAATAGTTATGAAAAGCGTAGTTGTACTTTATTGATGACAGATGCAACAGGTTCATTTGTTCAGTTAGTTGGTGCATGGACTGTTTCAGGAACTTCAGTTAATGGGTTTGAACTAATTATTCATATTTCAGATAACCATGTTTTCTTAGTGTCAAGTTTGTTTTCATTAAAATGTCAGAAACACCTTTTTTGTTTAGTAATGCCACAGAACATGGTTGTGTAGCACAATGACATGTTTCATTCATTTTAACAAGCAATGTAGCAGTATTTTCCCTCACTTTTCCCAAATATTGCCTTAATATGCTAAACTGCACAAGCGTTCCACATGTCTGCACACTGCCAGGTGTTTGTATTCTTCAAATGATCTGTGTATATTTTTTGTTGATTCTGCTTATTTATTGGCCTGCTTAAGTTAACTTTTTAAGGTTTGTGGTATAACTTGCATGTTTATTGTCTGAGTTGTTCAGTCCATAAATGATCTTGTATGCTCTTGATAACAAGTCATCTTGTGCGAGTTCTGCCTTGTGTGGATTTGCTATTATTTTAGACATGCAGTGTCCATTAGTACAACAGTGACAGCTCCCATTAAAAGCATAACAGAATTTATAACTTTAGCATAACTTGGATATTAGATATTGGAAAAAATGTTGATTGGCTATATGGAAGGAAGGAATATGTTTAGCAAGAACTTATACGGTAAATATCTGTTGTTTAATGTTTCATATGAGGCTACAGTGCTGTTGGTTGTTTTCATATATGATAGAAAAAACGTGTGTTTATGTACAATATGTGGACAAAAGTAGCAGTTATATTTGCAGGGTTTAATTAGGTTCGCATTTAACTCGGCCCAACTCCAAACCTCTGCTATGCATGGCTCAAAATAGGTAATAAAGAAGTTCAAAGGACCAGCCTGTTAGAGGCTAATTTTTCTTTCACAAGCCAGTTTGATTTTTGTCTCTTTGTTGTCTTTACATTCGAACAGCTCATAGTTCAAATCTCAGTACAAACCTTTCCTCTCGCTGTCCTGTAGATATTTTTTCTTTGACAGAACCAAATCAGTCCTAACTAGTAATTCGGTATAGGCACGGCTGTTACTTTATGTTCTGTTCCTCATTAAAAAGCAAGCTCTCATCCCTCTTAACACTCGCCCAGATAAATATGAGGATGGCAAATGCCAAACATGAATCATTTGTTATTCACGTCTCCTGATGAGAATTGTGTTGCCATGCAATTAGAAGTAATATCCTGTTAGCTGCTAGTGGCTTCAGCTGTCTGCCGATGGTATTCATAATGCCTCTGAAGGGATGTTAATGTAATTTTTAAATGTGTGTGTAAATATTTTATTGAAAGATGTTATTGTTATGGACTTGCATCGTTATCTTTTTGGAATAAAGAAAATGTACAATTATTGCAACTGTCATTCAGTGTCTTTTTTTATTTTATTTTTTAATTTTTTTTAGATAATACATGCTTTAATAATGAGCTTTCACCTCACACTAGCTTTAGATTTTGTCAGCATATACAACAGCTTGTTTGTTGAAATCGAAACTGGCCTGGAACTATTGAATTAAACAGTTTATGACCTTGGCACATTGTAACACATTAAAGGCATACTAGGAACTGTTTTTTTTTTAGTTTTTCCTAGAATCTTGTACCTTCTTGATCACTTGTATTAGTACTTAAGTATGGTCTTCATAACTAGTGTCCTGTAACTATACTAAATAGGCCATACAATTAGATTTATTAATTGCCGTTTCAAATTTTCAGAAAGTGCAGCTCCAGAAACTTAGAATATTTTATATGTAATGATAGTTATAATGCCTTGAGTTTTTGTTTAATCTTTACCCTTTTAGTCTAATTTTTGCTCTTTTTGAATGAATAATCCTGCTCAAGTCGATCGCACACTTTATGAAAAAAAAAATAAATAAAAATGTTCGCATTTGACCAGAGGATGGCAGTATTGTCAAAACAATACATGATTGTTTGCATTGTGACAGTAATGGGATCAGGCCCAGCTCTTTAAATAAATAAAAATGTTCGCATTTGAACAGTGGATGGCAGTATTGTCAAAACAATACATGATTGTTTGCATTGTGACAGTAATGGGATCAGGCCCAGCTCTTAGGAATTAACTATCACAGAATAGTGATAGAAATTGCATTAATGTTGTAGGTGAAATACAAATTTTGGGGAGACACTTTTAATGAAAATGTGTTTGGTATTAACACTTCACAGGTTGAAAAAAACTTGATTTAAATTCCTAAGGTATTAAAAATACCCAAGAGGCTCAGACAGGTGTACCATACTTGAAAATGAGTTTAGGCACAGCTGTTCTAGGCTACTAACAAATTTATGCCTGGATCGAAATTTGAATGTTATAATCGGTAAGAGTTGCATAACTTTAATGTTCATCGTGCAGATTAAGCCCATGTGTGTGTGTGTGTGTGTGTGTGATACATAAAATGATGCTTTTTATTACCACATTTCCGTTCCATAAAGCTATAAAACACAAAACCCAACACATGGTTTAGGATGTGGTAGAATTAGTTTCTTCAGGAAGTTACGACAATAAAAAGGGAGGAAACATGGTATTTTTCCACTTCTGTCATAAAATATGTAATAAAACTGACAGAACCATCCTGAAAACAATATTTGAAGGATATCCTTTCAACGTATAAATGATTATTTTACAGTAGGGACAATAACTAGCGGTTAATGACTTTGGCGGAACTGTGGTCACCATGGTAACCTGTGTTCAGCCGGACAGGGCAGGGCAGTAAAGGGTTAAAGAGGGTTTTTTCCTGTGCTGCTTGCTCTAGTCTTTTTGTTCAGTCTTTCTCTAGCACGACAACGAATTTACTGACCGCTGTTCAACGGGATCTTCCTTACGACTTGACACAAAAGAGGTAAAGGATTTTCACTTGTATCTAAAATGTTAGTACAGAAAGTATTAAAAGTGATTTAACAGTCTGCTGGCCTGAAGTAGTGGCAGTAAGTTAATCTAAACTTATTAGTAAATGAGGTCTTGAGGAGCTTTGTACCTTATTCGCGTTTTCTACCATAGTAAACTAGTTCTGTGCTATTTTAAGTGTGTTTTTGTTCTTTGTATATAGTTTAAAATGTTCGCTGATGTGGCACTGGCAGTTTGTGCCGTTCTCACTGAGTTCCTGTGAACAATCGCAAACAGCTGAATTTGACGCGACTTAACCCTCCGTTCACACGCACGTCAATGCATTGCAGCTGTGGTTTCGCTAGTTTTAATGTTGATTAGGCTTGTGTAGAAACTCGGAAGCCCATGTTGATCAACAAGTTGTCTGCGTTGAAACAGCGAGTAGCGAGACTGGCTCGTTGGTTTTAAAAAGCAAAAAGTAGCATTGTAGTAGTCGCGTGGAGTGAGGCACAACTCTTTGTATTAGCTTTGTATGTTCCCACGGTCCTGGAACACCTGTAAATATGAGGGAACTTTAAAATTGTGATTTCGAGGCCTGGGCATGTCATGGAATGTAATTCAATGCAATTTTATGTAAAGTCATATATACAAAGTTGGGTAATAACTGATTACATGTAATCTGGATAACGTAATCGGATTCCAAAAATTAGGTAGGCTAGCTTACTCGTAATTAGATTGAATTACATTTTAAAATACTTGTAATCAGACTACAGTTACTTTTTGTTGATTTGATTACATATTTTATCTTTCAGACGCATTAAAATACACAAATTCACGTTATTTCTTATTTACTTGTAATTCAGGCATTCCCAATTTGTTGTTGTTGTTGTTTTTATCTGAACTGAGATTTAAAAATAAACAATTTAATAATTAAAGATCAAATTTGCATGTTCACAGTTCTCTGAAGTTGGTTAATGGTCACATGACATGCAGGTAAACATAAAATATTTCATTTTTTAGTAAGTGTTTTATTTTAATGATGTTATTTTAATTTAACTTTTTTATTTTTTTTTATTAATTATAAGCTTTTCATTGAACCTGCGTTGAAACAGTGAGTAGCGAGACTGGCTCGTTGGGTTTAAAAAGCAAAAAGTAGCATTGTAGTAGTCGCGTGGAGTGAGGCACAACTCTTTGTATTAGCTTTGTATGTTCCCACGGTCCTGGAACACCTGTAAATATGAGGGAACTTTAAAATTGTGATTTCGAGGCCTGGGCATGTCATGGAATGTAATTCAATACAATTTTATGGAAAGTCATATATACAAAGTTGGGTAATAACTGATTACATGTAATCTGGATAACGTAATCGGATTCCAAAAATTAGGTAGGCTAACTTACTCGTAATTAGAGTGAATTACATTTTAAAATACTTGTAATCAGACTACAGTTACTTTTTGTTGATTTGATTACATATTTTATCTTTCAGACGCATTAAAATACACAAATTCACGTTATTTCTTATTTACTTGTAATTCAGGCATTCCCAATTTTTTGTTGGTGTTGTTTTTATCTGAACTGAGATTTAAAAATAAACAATTTAATAATTAAAGATCAAATTTGCATGTTCACAGTTCTCTGAAGTTGGTTAATGGTCACATGACATGCAGGTAAACATAAAATATTTCATTTTTTAGTAAGTGTTTTATTTTAATGATGTTATTTTAATTTAACTTTTTTATTTTGCTTTGGATCGCTGCATTTAAACTGAGAAAGCACGTACAGAATGATGTATTTGGTGTATGATAGAGTAAACCGTAATAGCACGTGCAGCGGTAGCCTCCCCCGGGTCCTTACGCCCGTTCGGTAAGGAGTTTTAATCTGTAGGGGGCGCTGTTGGCCTACTTCTAATTAAATGAAAAGTAAAATAGCCTACACAAATAACATTTAGACTGTGTTTCTGATTAAATAAAGCAGTAATTGATGT